GTGTGTGTGTGTGTGTTTATATGTGGGTATGCTTGTGTGTGTGTGTGAGAGTATGTGTGTGAATGTGTGTGTGTATGTGTGTGTGTGTGAGTGTATGTGTGTGTGTGTGTGTATGCGCGCGCGCACGTCTTACAGACAAGGGTATATAATTTTTATGTCCTGAGAGTTGTGTCTTTGCTACCCAGTTATGTTCAACTATTTCTCAAATTACGACATGTAAAGATAACAATACTATTTAATCAAGTATCTCGCTCTGTCTGTTGGGATGTTGTATCCGTCTCAGCCCGGGTCTGTCTGTTGGGACGTTGTATCCCTCTCAGCCCGGGTCTGTCTGTTGGGACGTTGTATCCCTCTCAGCCCGGGTCTGTCTGTTGGGACGTTGTATCTCTCTCAGCCCGGATTGGCCTTGACTGACAGGGTCAGAGCAGCCCGCCTACTAAATTATAGCAGTCTAAATTGTGTCAATTGAGGCTCAAATCAGGCACATACAAATCTACAAGTATGTGAGTTTTACTTTTAACCCTATCCGTACGTTCTGGGGTAATTTTGAACCCCCGTGGTTGTATTCTTCACGTTTTAGAATACTTCTAGAGCGAAGATCTCTTTGAAACTTTCAGTATTTCTCAAAAACTCATTTTGACAGACTGCTATGCAATGCGTACGGATCGGATTAATGAGTAAATTTCCTCTTTGGAACGTGGTGGCACAGAGTTCCCCACGTCGTGTGAATACGACAGTAAAACACGACGTACGGATAGGGTTAAGTGGTGGCACAGAGTTCCCCACGTCGTAAGGACACGATAGTAAAACACGACGTACGGATAGGGTTAAAAATGAGCATGAGGAGTTTGGGCGAGACAGGTAATTTATCAACAGGTGTTGTGTCCCCTGAGTGTAATTATGATTACCTCCCTTCCTCCTAGTTTTGCATGTTGTTTGTACGTGTGTTTGCCAGTCCAACATAGTGAGTTTATGCGGATGTTTATTAGCTTTGCTTGACACTACAGTCCCATTTATTATTAATATTACATATTATGTATGAACAAAAAGAGTATAGATAATAAAAGATTATACCATATATGCTGTTGCTTACACAGGTAATTGTTTTAATAAGTTCTTTCCTAATTTATTGATAACACTACCAGGTTCAATATATTATAATATTATTATGTGTATTTATGAATGTATATAATTGCTTAGTTCTTACATATTATGTAAGGTAGGAGTGAAAGGTACTTGAAGACGAGTAGACATTTTTAGTGTATTTCTAATATTTTTTGACATTTTAGTGTATTTCTAATATTTTTATACATTTTTAGTGTATTTCTAATATTTTGATCAGAGATTTCCCTCTCTAATTCCATCATGTAGAATGTATTGCTACAGCTAAACATAACACAAGATGCCCCTTAGGTGTCAGTTTACGTCTTAGACTTTAATCGACTTTTTAATCAGTCTTTCTTTTCCTAACTCCGTTTTTGTTGTGTTTTTTTTTGGGGGGGGGGGTTTAATCGGCTTCCATTTCCGTACTGTTTCTTACTGCTTTCTTCTAAAGTTCCATTTGGTTTTTAATCTAAGTCTCGTGTGTTGTTTTTAAAACAATTTTTTCTTTTTCTAAAATGTTTCTTTATATAGCTTTCTTCTCAAATTTCTCTTGTTTTTTAATCTAAGTCTCATTGTGTGTATCCGTCTAGGTGGGTGCATCTTTCTTCTTTTCTTGTTACATGTAGATGTGCTCATGGTTTGCCTTTTTGTGCTTGGCTTCTAGTTTTAAAACTTAGCGCAGTATCTAGAATAGCTTTGGATACAAATATACATATAGTTTGCATTACAGTTTTAGAGCTAAGAAAGGAAAAAAGGTCTTTTGTTTTGTTTTTTTCTTCAAAATACCAGTCTGCTTGAAGTATCGTCATAGTAACGTGCATAACTAGGAAGGACAGTGCTCAAAGAACATGTGCTGGATTGAAACATTTTCTTTTTCCTGATTAGTTTATACCGCTAGGGAATGTCTCCCTAATTGTTTTTGAGATTGCAAGAACGACAGCACTGATCGCAACAACAAGAAGAGTCAAGTGGGAAAAAACTAGGATGTGTCCAGTTTACAACAAAAAAATCAAGATACTAGCAATTAGCTTACAATAGTAAATCAACCATTGCCTTTCTCACCCTGGGTCGGGATGTAGGCCACGAACAAACGCATTATTATTTTACAATAGTACATGTATTTTACAATAGTACTTGTAGAACATCTCTATGAAGTGAATCAAACGGAAAGCCAACTAATGACCCCAGGACGTACGGATAGTTTACAAGTAAATCTCTCATCCTGGCATTCACAAATTGTATTCCTATAACAGCAAATCAATTTTTTAAAGCCAAGTCCATCAATGGAAAAGTAAGAAGTAGGCTATGTTGGGGTTGGATTAATGTGATTGATCCTGGTTTATATTCCCGGA